AACACCACCAGGATTCAATCTTTGAAAAAACACAGTTCTGAAGAACCTTCACTGCTTTAAAATGAAAAAATAAATTAAAAAAAATCTCTGGCTGTGTTCTCAAACCTGAAAGATATTTTGATGGAAATTATTCAAAACACTTCCAGTAATCACTTTGGAAACTCATCATAAGTACTGTCCTCAAAAATACCCGCCTTACACCTGATCTTCTCAGCTTCAAATATTCCTGACCCTACTTATACTTTGAAATCCCTTTGTTTACTAATTAAAAGCACTTACAATTCTTTCTGTGGAAAAAAAAAATGAAAATAAAAAAAAACTGGTAGCACATCAGCACTATATACAACTTTTCTGGACAAGAAGTAAAGAATTATCTAACGACTTGAGGCAAACAAACGTTGGGCGGAACTTGGACAATATACCATGATACGCAATATACTGACTTAACAGCAATGATCACAGGTACCACCTCAGATTCCATGATCACCTGTGTCTCTGCTGACTTAAACCTACTGCTCTAGTTTACACAACCAATTATCAGTTTCTTCATTTTAGTTTACTGGTTTTAGGAACTGATAATACAGCTATAATCCACAACTTGGACAGTTTGACACCAAACGCTATGTTGGTCCCACAAACCCTGACTGTGATATATTGAAAGCTCTAAAATAAGCAAAACTCTCCTGAAAAGGCATTTTCATTAACACAGTGCTGTGAAATTTTCACTTCTAGTGCCAGAAAGTCAATACATCTAACACTACATTTTGAGAACACAAGTATTTGCTATGAGTTGGTGTCCATGAATAACTTACACTCAAACTCTACTACATAATCATTATTTCCCTTCTTCCCCAAGAAGAGGTAAATCAGAGATCATGTTCTAACTCCCCCTGCAATGCTCATGAAAAGGGCACAAAAACATAAGCACAATTTTCTTCTTCAAAGCTCAAGCAATCCAGCAACAACAGAGGATGACGATGGTATTAAGTTCCCCTGATTAGAGACCACCATAGCACTGAATTTTACTGCCTCTCACCCAAAAATTTTCTGTTATGGACAGGCAGAGAAGAGATGGCACAAAGCCAACAGTGACAGGCCTTGGGTCACATTATGTTGCTTCAGGATTACCAACCTGACCTACTTAAATTGTCAGCTTTTCACCTACATGAACAAACTAAGCACCACTAAAGTAAGAATCAAACCATTTTAATGGAAACTAGATTGTATACCACAGAATCTACTGCTATAATGCAAGTTTGTGACCAGAAAGAGAACAGAATTGAAAAAACAACACAAGATTGAAAATGAACATAAATATTAGCTTAGATTAACACCTCTTTTCTCCTATTGTGCAAGACTGTTGCAGACAGTACACGATCTGAGTTGATGTAGAAAGAATGAAGGTGTCAGGCAGCAGTTAACATTGCAATTTTGAGTATATGCTCCATACAGATGTGAAACCACAGAAGAGAATACTGAAGGCCATTAAACATTATGTCACTGAAACCTCAAATTAATAAATATAAAATAAAAATCAGTCTCCAAGAGCTGTAGCAGATGGAAACATTTTTTAAGCTGGCAAGTGGTGTCTCTTCTGACAAGGGTAAGTCCATTGTTTAAGTTACCACTAACTTAGAAACTCTATGCATCTAGGTAGCTCTATAGGCACACATAGCTATTTAATACAATATATTTAGAAGTTATTTTATGTTATACCTTATAATATCCAGTTGTGGACTGTAAAATTATATAGAGTGTACTATGATAGAAGATAGCTAATAAAGCAAAAATGGGCCTTTATTGGTAATAATTTTGCCTAACCAAGTTTTCCTCTGTGTTTTTATTTAAAAAAAAAGGCAAAAGCTTAGTTGGTTGAAAAGACTAAAAAGCTTTATATTCCTGAAGAATCTTGCAAGGAATATTTACAAGTTGGGAAATCTTTGGAAGTTCTGACATTCTTGACTCTACCTGAATAACCACAGTAAAACACTGACTAATGCCGAGAACCAGGAAAATTATGTTTCTGCAGTAAATATGAATTTCTATGTGCTGCTAAAGAAGTGACTTATCAGATCAAAATATTAATCTTCCCACCTGTCTTTGTACCCCTTCCGACTATAAACCCATTCCTCCTGCCAGCACACTATAAATTGAATGCCACTGAAATCTGTGCTTTTAATAGGCTAATAGACTATTACCATTCTGGATGCTGGCTTGGGGCTATCCAGCTCCTACCTGGAAAATTCATCTACACTGTCTCCTGCCACAAGCATGGGAAAAATAAAAAATAAAATTAAAAAAAAATTAAAAAACAAATCTAAGCAATGAGATAGCTAAAAAATCTATCAGCAGTTAGGCCTGATTACTGCAACGGTACCTAAAAATTCCCAATTTTCAAAACTGCACAAAAATTCCCTTTTAATCCAAACACTTTATTCAAATACAAAACCCAGTATTACCAGAGGGACTGCATCATGAACTATCTTAATTTTTTTAGAAATGCTGATATAAAAAAACACTGAAAAGCCACCAAAATGTAAAAATTTACTTACTTGAGAAACTGCTAATTATAGCCAAATAAATAAAAACAAGGTACAAAGAGCTGTGCACCTGAAATTCAGTATTTATAAAGCTAGGGTATCTGTGGAAACGAAGTATCAGAGGCCTCTAACATGAAGATGCTTTGAGGATAAGAACAAAGTGAAGGTTAATTTCTTCTCCCTCTTCGCAAGGATCTAGCATATATTTGCCTCCTGCATTCCAGAGCTTAGAACAGCTTTGTATCTGTACGGATAATTATCGTTTCTATTCTATGAACAGGCATTCAGAATTCCTTATTTGTTCTGTATTGCAAGTCAGCTAACAGCAGAGATAATGATGCTGCACCCTTGGACCACAAAAAGATTTACATGGGAAAACAGAAAGGAGAGACAACTGGAATTACATCCAACCAATGAGGCTTAATTAAGCAGATTACACCAAACTGGAGTATGCTCTTTTACCATCAAGTTTAGATTAATAGCCATACAAGAACCAAGTAAGGCCTGTTCCTGTGAGGTTTGTCCACTAGCATTTCATCTAATACTCTTCAATATGCTATGGATTAAGAAAAGGAGGACTGCTATAGGGTACCAAAGTTGCAAGTTTTTAATTTAATTTAAGCAAATTACTATTAAAGCACATTTATGGAGGAGAAAAAGGTGCTTTAATCACCTGAAATCTATTGCAAAATTATGCTTTATTTTCATTTAGTTATGCCAACACATCACAGCCAAACTTAAGACCTTCACCATACAAGGTAAGATGGTCCCTCCTAAAAAGTTTACAGTTCAAATAGATGAGATGGAAGAAGCATGAAATAAAAAAAGGCAATCCCTACTTGATGACATGAAAAGGAACCACCAAGATCACGGGGAAAGAAATTAATTTAACTCAAATCTGAAACTAGATTTCTTGAATAACAGAAGAACTACCCTTTCTTCGTTACATTTGTGTTTCAGATTTATTAGCCATGTTAGGAGCCAACAGTTCCTGGAAAACTAGCATAAAAATGAGGTTCAACTGAAAATACTCTAATTCTTGCAATATCATACCAACACATCAGTTCTCTGAAGACAGAGCTCAATGCAAAGAATTCAAAGCCTATATTAACTATTGGCCCTCTACCAGTATACTATGTGATACTGCTCCAGATCTACTTAGAGATACAAATGAACATGTAAGACAAGTGAAACTCAGAAAAAGAGTAATTTATCCCACAATACATCTAGAGGTACTTTAACAGAGTGTAAGCAAGCACACAAGATCACCTTCTGTAAGATCCTGAGCATCCAAAAAGCAGTGCAAATAAGATCTGGCTGTATTCTCTAGCTAAAATACTAAGTTCTGTAATGCAGTTTTTATATTCACTGCAGAAGAAATTTTCAGCAAGCATGACACAATGCTCCCCATTTCAGCAGAACTTGTGTTCTGTGCTGGAGTAGTGTAGGTACAACCCAGGGAAATGGAACAAAAAAAACCTTAGCTCTTAAAGAACTGAATGCTGCTACAATTTTATGATCATGATTTTCACTCGTGTTCCCTGCTCCCTTCGTTCATTGAAATGACCTTAAAATGAAAACTAAGACATATTGTAAACCGTTCTTTTCTCCAATGGTAAGAATATTGAACCTAAGCATCACATGACACAATTTTTCCTCTCAAGTTATTGCTGATAATTGCATTGCCCCAAGCAGCAAGGAGTGAAGAACATTATTTCATACAAAGTGATTATTAATTGTCATATCACTTTAAAATACCATTTGTTAACTAATGGTGACTGAAACATTGACTTTTTTCATAGCTTCTTAAAATATAATCAAGAACGACTACCTATCTCTTAATACTTGAATGCTTACAATCAACTCCAAGAGATATTCCCAAGCTTTTTCTTTTGTTTTGCCATCTGATAGATACACTTGGACATTTAGAGGCATAATCGTTTTACCACATCAAAAAGTCCACAGTAAAAAGTTTCTGTTTATTCATAATCATGCTGGAAGACATGAAACAAAACAGTGTCAAAACTCATGTCAGTTTATTTACAGTTCATCCCCAGAGCCTTTTCCAACAAACACATTGCTTTCTTGCAGGGTTATAACATCATGTATTAGGCAACAGCTGATAACATATGGCATGATAGTGAACTTTTGCTTCATACAAATTCCAAAATTAATAAAGAAAATATGATGGGCAAGTTGGTGGAAAAAGCTTTAAGGCAAGGCAATTTCCAGAGAATCTTAATGAGCCAAAAGTCCCCTGAGATGACTTCTACACATGCTGCACTATTTTGATGGCCTTATAAAGAAAATTGAATTGTTCTCTCAGATCTGGTTGAAGACACATTCTCTTTTTAATGTCCTAACAAAACTTGAAATCTGAAAGTGTCTTATTCAGAGTTACCAAAATAGAAGTGGAGAAGACAAAATGATTCCAAGACACAAAGTAAAAAATATCAATACCTTTAACTTCTTCGTAAATGCTATCATCTATTGATTCACTGCTCACGTGGCAAACATCATCATAATCCTCTTCTTCCTCCTCGGGAATAGTATTAGATTCTGAATCTATGCAACAGCAGTTTAAAAAGTTAACATTTACTACAGAAGAATGCCTTAGCAGAAAATTATGCAAAGAAAACCACAATTCTTCTATGACATGATGTTTGCAATATACTCTGATTATTTTCTTATAATGTTCACTAAGGGAGAGCTCAAGATACATACTTTTCTTGGAGAAAATAAAAAATCTTGCAAAAGGAAAAAAGTCATAGGAAAGCTACATGATTGAAAAACAGGACTTGCTATTCAAAGCTTGGACAGGAGAGAATATAACATACACAAAAATGATAGATAACATTAATGGACAGTACTACCATCACTAAGCAGTACTAGCAAAGTCTACTGCTTTACTGGCTGGCTTACCTTGGATGACAAATTTGACTTGCTGTACCCATTCCTCTGCTTCTTTGGGAGTGGCAGCTGTAAACTATTAAATGTTTATTAATAACTACTAGCAGTAATGACAAAAACACAACTACAATTTCATTGGCAATAAAAAAGAGGGACTGTAGCATTCTCGTCACTTCCTCAAGAAACCATTAGTAATTCTTTTCATGTCTTCTGGTACTTTTCTTGCAAGGATGCTTCTTATAATGTACAGCTAATTTTGACAAATTTACGTAATTGAAGGAGAGGATGATGGATTTGAAACTCTGATCAGCAGCTGGCAGCTGTGCAGAAAAAAGCTGCTTCTCTTCATCATTGTCAAAGCCAGAACTGATGAACAAAATTTGCCCTTGACAATTAGAAGACACCCATGAATTTCTTTAGACTGCTGGGTACAGTTTTCTTAAAAATGTTCTTGTCAGACTCCAACACACTACCTGACAGCTTAATTAACTGGCTTTCAACTGCAATCTTAGATATTTAAAACTTATTAAACTTACATTCCATATTGATGTCTAGCTGATAGATCTCTGAATTGCACAGCTGATATGTGCCTTTACGTTGATTTTCTTTGCAAAGCCATGACTGACGCAATATGTATTTAACACTAATATATATTTTAACTTTTTTTTATTAATTAATTCATCCAAGAAATCACACAGACATACGATACAGCAGATATTAAAATGCTAATGTTGAAATGACCAATAGATAAAGATGACAGATTTCTCTGCTCTTGTCCAAAAAGATAATATTTGAACACATACGTATTTTAAATCAGATTTTTTTTTTCCTAATATATAAGCAAGCAAGGGTTTCCTTTTTTCATTACGATGTCAGTGAAAATTGTTTTACTGAAATGTTAATTTAGTAACTGGAATCGTAACAGCTTTATCAATTTAATTTCAAGTCAACATAAAAAAAAACTCCAACCTGATAAATGCGCTTATCAGGAGCGGAGATTTCAAAACAGCAATCTTTCTTTGCATCCTTCCGAAGGCTATTATTCATTCTGATGGTGTAGCCCTCTAAGGCAAATTCACCTTTCTGTTGTTTGTCTGTTGGAGATAAAAAACAAAGTTAGAGCTTCATTTACAACAGTGAACGTAAGTGCTCAGCAGGTTATCTTTTATTCAGATTTTGTTTTCTATTTCATGAATTTTACAAAGAACAGGGAGATTTTTAGCAAAATAATTAAGTGATGCTGCTGGAGATAAAGCTTTGGTTTAAAGGAATATGTACACAAAGTACATTTTTTTTGTAGGATGCCTAAGGAATTTCAGAGGGGGATGTTTGCAGATGGTGGTCTTATTTAGTAAGAAGTGCATGTTATGACACTTGTATCTAGGGAAAGTCAAGAACTGGAACTTTCAAGACACGTTTCCTATAAATCAGTGTCTTTTTCAGGCAGTAAACCAACAGGAAAACTTGTCTAGCTCAGAACTTGCTGAGCACCCTTCTAAACTAACCACTTCACTCAAAAAATAAACTTTGAACTCCTTTATAAGCAACTGGAAAAGCTTCTTTTCATATTCTCCCACCCTTTCCCAGATGTGCCTCCTTTCCACATGGCAGAAGTACAGAATGAATTTTGTTATAAATTCAGGTGTGTGTTCCAAAAGCATTTCTCTCTAGACAGCAAATATTTAATTAGCTAATAAAAGCACTGAGCCCTACCACAGTTTATTATGTAGAGCCATGTGTTTGTGCCATGTGGTTGTTTTAAAGACAATACTACTTTTTAAAGGTTCTGGTTTATAAAAGTATCACTTAGAACAAGCCTGAGTTTAAATACACTACATGGTGGGCAGGCGGCACCTGTGCATGCCTTCTGAGCTCTTCAGGCCAAACCCTTCATCCGACTTTATGTGCTCTGGCATGTTTTGGTGAATATTAAAAACAAACCAAAAAACTAAAAGTGACTCAGTTTTGCAATTTTTGTAGATCACAGAAATCAAGTGAATGCAGTATCAAGTGAAGATCATCATCATCATCAGTCACATTTTGCTCAGGCAAACAAAAAACGAAGTGCAGTTGCAAATGAAAGAAAATTCCATTAAGTGTGGGTATTTTTCCACAGTAGAGAAAAATTAACAATAAGCATCAGGCACAACAACAAAACTACTTTAAGTATTGCTGAACAGAACTTAAGTGCAAATCAAACATCCGTTGCTTATGCTTGTCAATAAGAGGAAGAAACTTCTTACTGTAAACAAAACAGAAAAAACTACCATTTTCAACACAATTTAGTCATATTTCTGGAAATTTAATAGGAGAGCTTATCTTTTTTCCAATCACAAGGGGGCAAAAATTGGCTAACATAGCAACATCAACATCAATGGACATAAGGGCAGTCACCATACAAATACTCCTGCCAGTAATCTTACAAGCACATAAACACAAATTCTTTGTCCTTCCACCGTTTTATGAACTCTCACCCAGGGCAAGTAAATACCAAATAACACAATTATATTAAAAAAAATCCAGGGTACTGTTCTATTTTCCCTTCTCATCCCTTCCCCCACAGTAACTTTAATTATGTCTTAATTAAATACTAATGACACAGTACTAACGCTTAATCCTCCACTCTCATATCAAACAGCACACATACACAAAATTCATGGAATCACAGCAAGGCAGATATAAGAAATAATAACTTGCAATAGGTTAACCAGGTCCCCTTTTAACTAAATTCATTTCTGCCTTGAAATTTTATTGTTCCTTCACTTGTGACCTTAGGGAGAAGATGAAGTGAAAGATATTAATTTCTCACTCTCCCATGCTGGAGGTTTATCAAAACCCAAGAAGATAGGAGCACGCAGACAGAATAAACAAACAGGTTCAAAAGGTAACAGCATTTTGTCAAGATAAAAATGAGGCAAGTATTCAAATTTAGTCTCTTGGATTATTTCTGAGACTGCTTCTCTGCGACATGTATGGTCCGTTTTATGGTAATACAGTTTTATAGAGCTAATCTCAGATGATCTCTGTACTAGCACTTGTTCCTTCAAAGAGAATTACAGTTAAAACACAAAGACGCTGTACTTTGCACTGGAAGGGAAACATAGTGCATGGTATCCATATTGCATTTGATTGTTTTTGTTAATACTGTCTGTGCCTTATCTCTCTGAACACACCGTTCCAGAGCTAATGAAAATTACCTGTATGCACCACAAAAAAAAGCAACACATACTCCTTGCTATTAAATTCTTTCACTGACCTTTATAGCAACAGAGTCGTCAAAGCATTGCTACTTTTGCTTCTAATTGTCTGTCCAGTAAAGTAGCTCTGACTGAAGTCCAATGTAGCATTACACACATGCTTAAAATATTAACCATGGGGAAATTTTAAGACAATGAGACACTTCACAGCGCTGACCCAGAACCTTATTAAAGCTGAAAGACTTTCAGAATGCATTCACACTCCCTGTGGCAGCAAGCCAGAGATAAGACCCAGTACATCCTGAGAAATAGCTCAACAAATACAGAATGGCAGGATACAGGTCAGCTATAGCTTAGCTGCATGCTCAGATGGTGACAAGCAATGAAGGTCTACAAATCCAAGTTGCTCTTGCAGACTAGTTTTCCAGGTAGACTGGAGACCAGCCCCACCATGGAGCAAAACATGACCTATGGTAGCTGTTTGGCCAGACCCAGTAGTCAGTTCCAAGCTTGAATGCAGGGCCATCCTGTAAGGTCTGACTCAACAATCATCTCAACATCGTTTACTGGCAAGGCCTTGCAGCTAAGTAGGGGTGCAGACAGACTTGGGCTTTCCGTTTAAAGCCGCTGTGTGAAATTAGTGCCACAGTGATTTCTGTGAACTTTCACATTCAGAGTTCTATTGTTAAACAGTTATTGATGTTTAAAAACTTTGAAGACTAAAAGATTTTCCTTGAAGACTTAAAATTAGGTATCACTGGGGTTTATGACAGGAGCCTTAAAAGCAGCTTCAGGAAGCACATTTACATTACAGAGTTTTCACTTTCATTTTGAACTACTAAGTCAGAACTGGAGTTTTGCCTAGGCAGGAAGGAATACAACAGCATATTTAGAAAGAAAAAGGGAGAGATGCGGATGGAATGCGCTTCTCTAAAGAATGATAACATTCTTGCTGCTTCTTATTTTCTCGAAGTAGAGCTTTGCAATTCAGCAACAGGATACCCATAGGCTGTCATACAACAACACAGAATAGAGCGGCAAAAAGTATACTATCAGTCTCATGAAAACAAAAAGGATCACAAATATCAAGCATAAGTCATTCCACAATTCAGTTAAATCTCATTTCAGGATAAGCTAGTCTTTGCTCTCATCTCCTCTTCTTCTTCCCTTCTCCCTGTATCAGGCACACAACAGAAGAATAAATCTGAGTCTGTGTGGATCCTTTTGCATCCAGAATTTAGAATTGTAAAAGTCTAGTATAACAAAGTAGACAGTCAGGAACTAGTCTAAAAAAAAAAAAAATAAATAAAAGGTCAAATCTAGTACATAGATATTTGAGAGAAATAAATATGGGAAGCTATATTTGAAACAGAAAATGCAGGTCTGCATTAAATTTGAGAGCCACTTTAAACATTTTTCATACCTATAAGCTTCATTCACCCTAAAAATATTTAAATGTTTTTAACAACGGAAACAGGTCCAGTATTATATGAGGGAAGAAAAGAGTCTCAAGGGAAGCAGAGAAAAAGGGGTTTGAAGTAACCTTGCATCACTGAGTCCATGGGAACTTTTAAAACAAAGAAGGGTAAACCTTCAATGGGGTCTTGAAATGATTGGGTTGTAAATTTGAGGCCTAAGGCAATGTGCCCATATTATTAGCACATGTAAAAAGAATTAGTGCATTCTGAAGAACAGAGCGGACTCGGGTAGTAGAAAGGAAAGAAGTTACAGAGAAAGGCATAAGGAACAAAGGCAAACAGAAAGATTTCAGAGAGTGATAAAGTATTTATAGATACTATTAGAATCTATAATTTAACTCTCTTCATCTTGAAATTAGGAACCTGTAAAATCTTACAGGTTTACATGGCTTCATGCTAAATTTAGTTTCACATACTCTTCCACATGCAGGATGTCTGCTTCCTAAAAATAGTAAGTGTCAGTATCTCCAAAACAGTAATTCCTTCTCCTGTTTTTGGAACAGTCCTTTCCAAAAGAATGCAAACGAGTTCTTCCCTTTTAGATAGCAGACCTGAAATGCAATTGACTCTTTTTTCTCTCTTTCCTTTAATCTACTCCTCTGAGAAATCTAAACTAAAAAAAAAAAAAAAAACACCAAAAAATAAGAAACAGAGGGAATTCCTGAACCTGTTCAGGGCACCAGTTTGTTTATATGCAGTCTTTTTTTACTCACTAGTTATTTTTTAAAATAAAGCACTGTTAATGGCAAGCGTGCTTCTCAAGGTCTGAATTTAACATTCTCATAGCAGAAGATTCAGTACTCATTAGATAGATGCCTTTGATTGCCATTACCCTGCTACAAAGTCCTGTTGAACATCTACAATTCCTGGAGATTTCTGTTACTGATTCTGCCAAAAGTCTAAACTAAACAAGGATTTTTGCCTTTTTTTATCTGGCTGTTCAGACAGGAAGGACTAAAAGAAGGAGGTCTGTAGCTATAAGCAAAATGGTAGGAGAAATTTGCGAGTTTAGCATGTGGCAGAAATTCCAGTAGCCTGCTGAGGCAAGTAACTATGACTTCCCTCCCCCTTAATAACATTCAGTCACCAAGTTCTTAAAAAAAAAAAAAACAGAAAATAAAACAAAATCACTTTTTTTTTTTTTTGCACAAATATAAGAAGATTCCATTGGTCTGGCCACCACTGTCTTCCTATTCCTCGAAATACATAATTTTTATGTCCATGTTAAAAATACTAAATAAGTATATAAATAAAACCTCAGTCACTTCTAAAAGCCTCTGAACTGTCCCTCTCTCTTCAATATCGTATTACTGGCAGGCAGGCAGATACCATTTTTGAGTTATAAAGATTAAAATAAATTTTTAGTGCCCATTAACAGTGGAGAAAATTGCCATGATGTTATCAATTACTGCCTTGCTAAACATTTAGCTGATCTCTCCAGTTTGCGGAGACAGAAGGGCGTATAATATGACCTAGTGAGGAAGAAGTAATGAAGTCATTAATTCATTCATTTACGAAGCAACAAATTAACTTTCCTTCCTCACATGCACCTTTAGGTCTGGAAGGTTAGCTGTACCACCCAGGTGCCTGAGCACACAGGAACTGCCAGAGGTCACATAGAGAAATGATACGCAAAAAACAGGGTACCTAACTCAGGATGCAACTGCATGGAAGCAAAGAAATGAGAAGCATTATATAAGTTTTATGGAAGGAAAGACTATGAAAAGGAGAACCAGGCAAGCTTCTGGAAATCCAAGCCAGCTCTGACATTTGAATGGGCTTCTCTGCAATGTTGTGGGCCCCATGCTGGCAACAGATACCACAGCACAAGTACAAATACACGTGCGACTCCTGCAATACCTATTTTTTACATGAATTAGGTGAAACCTTTAAGCATTTTTCCTCCATCTACTCCACATATCATTGATCGGGGGGGGGGGGGGGGAAATGCAGGTGATTCACTTAGTCCTGTCTATACTGCAAGGATAAATAACACTGTTTCACTGTCCAATGCAGTGTACCAAATGTATGAGAAAATATAGGCAGAAGCAATGAAACAAGACATTCCTTGCCCTGCAGGCATCACAACTGTTAAAAGCATGCTTGTAATCTACTAGGTGAACATACACACATACACAAACACACAGTCATTTACTGTATTTTCACAACCTTTAGCTTGTACTATATTCTCCTGGACTAGGCCTCATATTTTTCACCATTCAGCTCTGAATAAATGAGAGTTTTATTTACATGCATCTGTGAGCTTTATACACTTCCGTATTTCTTGTTTTCCCAATGTAAAAAGGATAGTGTTAGAAGAACTAAAGTATTTTGGAAACAACAAATCCACACAACCTAATAAAAAGGCATCCAATAGCCTCACGTTTAGCATTCAGTTACATTTACACTGATACGTAAGCATGAAAATCAAACCTTGCCCAACAAAATACACACCACACCAGATACAAAATATCCTTCACAATTATTCACCTATGTGTCCAGTTTTAAAAACATACACAATGCAAAACAAGCCAAGCAGGACCCAAGAAATCCCTGCTGCCTATCTGCATTATGTCCCACAACACACACACAGGCACTAGCACTCCATTACCCACTAAAAGTGATTAAGGCATCAGGACTGAGCACGTATGGAATCCCCATCTCTCTTCAAACCAGGTTCAACAAGGGGGGAATATTCCTGGTGTGTGAATCAGCCCTGGAACCTGTCAGAAACCTGATACAAAACACTTGCAGACGTGGCACAGGCAAGGGCAGACCAGCATCATTTAGACAAGCACCACTCCAATGATTCAGGGGTTGGTAACAATTTGCATGAAGCCACACAAATGCACACTTCACCCATATCCTGCAGCTGGTAAGAGCACACACTGATCTTCTATGTGGTCCAAGTTACCTGGTACAGCATCAAGGGCCACAGCAAAAGAAGGGTCCAAATGCAACAGTGCACTATGGCAGGAACCACTGCTGACTGTAATAGTTGGAGTGAAAACAGTTTTACGTTCTTCCAGCAACTAAATGCCGGATCTCAGGATTGTCTCATCACACACCTCATCCATGCTGACAACCTGCAGCCTAACAGTGTGATAAACAGCAGCACACATGTTCACAGCCATCAGGACAACAGCTCATTTTCAACAGCAAACTAGTTTGCCATGGAGCTACAACAGTCACTGGTATTCAATTTCTGCACAATGATGGTGATTTGCTTCTGCACTGGAACTGGCACCTTATGTACTACAGCACCACAGGGCTGAAAAAGAGTACCTCCACCCAGTACAGAAAAAAGCTTTCTGCTTCAAAGGCAAGTTCTGCAGTGACTGTTGGTCACCCCACATCTGCAAGATGAAACAATTCCACCATGCTACACTAGCTTTATTGCACTAACAGCACCAGTCACATGGGGTAGGGCAGAAATGCATGCACCTGATTTGTTTACTTACTCCATGAGCTACTGTTTGGAGCCCAGCCATGCTTATACTATTTCCATGGACTTTGTGCCTCTCCCCACATCATTAGGTTACAGTTAGCAGGATCTTCCCTAAACAATCTGCAGCCTACAAAAGCTATAAATGTATAAGCCAAAGCATCTGTCTATAGATTCTTAAAGTAAAGAAATCCCACATATCCCACAGTCAGTTCCTAACATGACACCAACTTGTCGAGGGCTAAGGAACATGCTTCTGTGTGTTTTAGGGAACATGCTTCCATGCATCTTAACTTTCAGCCTAGTTATTACCAGTCATGATACAGCCTGGGTAGTCAGGTTGTTACAAAAGAAAAAAAAGAAAAGAAAAAGGGATGGAAAAGGGCAGGCAGGAAGTTGCCTGCCTTAATGCAAAGACCATGTACTAGAAATCATGAGTGATTATCAGCATAGGCACAAGGAGAAGAAATAAAAATTACCAAGCCTTTCCTTCTTTGTTCTGTGGTTGGGTTTTTTTGGTTGGTTGGATGCTTTGGGAGGTTTTTTGGTTGGTTGTTTTGGTTCCCCCCCATCCTCCTCCCCCTCCCCCAAAAAACAAAATCTGTAAGAACCAGCAATATATCCCAAATAAAAATAAAAAAAAAAAAATCCATTTTTAAAGTACTAGGTAATGTATAACTACATAAAAACAAATATCAGAAGATAATTTTCCAGAGAAAGAAATGAATCATTACTGACAAGTCAGTGTTATGCCACACCTCCTAAAAAATTTTAAATTAAGACTCTTTAACAGTTTTTGAATCTTCCTCAATCTGTAAATCCCAATAAAAGAGTGAAAAAGAAAAGCAAACGTTTAGCAGATATACTAACAAAACACTAGAAATGGAGAATACGATGGAAAACTGTAGCGAGACTGGACTTTCAGTTAGGACCTTACTTTATTTCTTTTGGTTTTAGAGAAAGGGTGAGTTTAAATGAGTCAGCATATATTGAAGAATGAAACAAACTGGACCAAATTAGTCTTTTAATAAAACACCACAAAATAACTACCTGCACTAATCTCAAGTAGAGTGATGCTGAAGAAAAAAGTTTCAATGGACAGTTTGCCTAGGAATAAGTACACAGGTTTTTTGGTGGGCTTTTGGGGGGGAGAAGAGAAAAACATAATTGCACTTATAAAATTTACTCAGATCTATTTCTGTATCATTTGTTCTACTCTTAGACATAGAATACACTTGGCATACAACTTAAAAGATGTTTATTAACTGTCAATTTTTAAAAGTCAAAGTGATATCACAACATTTATGTCAGACTCTTTCTAAATTGGCCATTAAAAGTTAAAAGTCACTTTCATAAGCTAACTGGAGTGTCCAGGACTGGCTTTTAATTAAATATATTCTTTAATTTCTAGGTTTTTCAAAACACAAGGCATTTAGAAAGAAACACAGAACTCTATGCTCCCTGCAGAACTATGTGGGTTTTTAGACTAACATTTGCCTGGATAGAACCATCCTTAAAGAGCTCAGAACATATAATTGCCAGAGGGTGTTTTAAAATTAAGATTCTATTTAGACAGAAAGAATATTTTCTGTCCAGTAAATCAACTGAGTACCAGCATAGTATCAAACCTAACAGCCAGATGTTATTGATGCACAAAGTAGCTTTACAAGTAACCGTTTTTCCTCAGTTTCCCCTCTCTAGTAAATGAGTACATCACTTACAGATTCCGAATAATATTGACACATTTTTAAAATTCACAGCACTGTTTAAGAACCATCTATTCTTGTAAAAGTTCCATTCAATTTCTTAAAATGACCTCCACTAAAACTTTTTTCTCTCATTAAAATACCATTTTGATAGTTTATCATCATTATTACAAGTACCTTTATCGCTTCCATAGTAATAGAAGACTGTCTTACTGATAGCACACCAACGCTTCTGCCATTCAAAGCCAAGAAAACTGTGGTCTGCAATTGATATAATTTGTGTTACATCACTGTGATTATTGAACATCAATATGTTACTTCTTTTCAAGGTTGGGGTAAGAGGGAGGAGGAGACAGGAAAGGCACTAAGGAAAGGAAACAAAACCTGGGTATGAAGAGAAATGTATGGCACTGAGAAGGAAATGCAAAATAAAAATTGGTGATAAGAAAACAAATGGGAATTTGAAATCATATAAAGAGAGAAGCCATGTGTAACATTAAATATAAGGAAATAATAAACAACTTCCTAAATATTTCCTATAGTTATCACAGCATTAAGTGGGTATTAAAGTGACAATGTAAGATTTATTGAATCAAGGTAAATATTGACTGAACCAAAGCTGAGATCAATATTTGCCCTCTTGAAGGAAAATAAATCTTGATGCTCACTGAAACATGAAGTCAACATACGGTACTTTTACATATATTCCTAATTTTTTCTTCAAAATATCTGTAAGTCTCTGAATTGTGGCTGACAGTGGACTTGAACAGCATGATTTTGTTAGTCAATAAAGAAATAAGATTTTCTTTTAATACTACAGGAGTAAATATGTGCTCTGCTTCTTTTGTATAATAATGCTTCGACATTTCAGCCTCTATTTCGTTTTAACACTCCTGTATGAACTTATTTGTGTATATAACTTCAAATACTGACACACAGACTTCACAGATAGAAAATATACACTACTTTTGACAAAGACAGTTGAACTTACCCTTTCTGCGTTTTTCCAGGTATCCAGCCTTCAGAACAAACTGAAGATCCTGAGCTGCAATAAGAGGAAACTGATGCCCTGAAAGAAAAACAAATTCTGTAAAGCACCACTTTTTAAGAAAAATGCTATAGTAGCATTAATAAACTTATGGATTTTACACTCTCAATTTGCAGGAGCTACTGGAGAAAATAATTCTAGTAACTAATATGCCAGATTATTTTAAGTACAAAACCCATATAACTGTAAATGTCGGAGCTATTGCTGCTGTCCTCACCACTTCAGTAAGGAAAAATATAGTTGTGTAGCAGGCTCTGCAAGTCTCAGAAGGGAAAATAAGTAATTAAACAAGCTATGGCAACTTAGAAAACATTAGTTTGTGATTTGATCATGGTCTGTAAAGCAAGTTGGATGATCAAAGCTGTAAGTTTTCAAATGTGCAAACAAATCCAAGTATCACAATTCAACACAATTAAAACAAGAATGTGGTTTTCACAATGCCAGCTTCATAGAAAAACATCTCAAAACACACAAGGTGAGGATTCTCTATTACAGCGTCTACAAGAAAGGAAAACAGACCAAAAGAACACAAAAGGCAATGCCTGCTGGTGACAGACCATGTCTGATTTGCAATATGACACAAATGTATTGCCTATAGGATCTATAGGGCAATGCTGGATACACCAAAAACATGGCATAGAACTCTACAAAATTGTTGACCTACAGATACCAGTTTTAGATTTTGTAGAACATAGCTGCATCTGCAAAACAGTGAGTATGTTCCACTCTATTTTTTCCTTCTTCTCAACTGCTAATTCATAGCTAGAAGCATAAGACTGATCAGTTGACCCTGCCTCAACTTAGAACAGAAATTCATATGAAAAAATTGTCTTCTGTCCCACATTCTTCCCTCCTACAACAAGAGAAATATGATTTAAATGGAGCTCCTAGTATTAAGAACAGCAATATGTTAGATAATTAACATGTAATAATTAACATGTATATAATCATCATACTGTTTACCATAAGCAAAAAAGCAGAACAAAAAAAAGGTATCCTCCTGCTGCTGTTTTTTTTTAAGTGCATGTGAATATAAGAGTGAAGTTCCTACTACTTATTATCATCAAATATTCATAAGACTCACTGTAGGTAGGTGGCTAGTTTATAGGGCAGCAATTATTCACCAAATATATGTAATATCATTAAGTTCTACCAATATAAACATACAAAAAAGAACTGATAGCAGTAGACAACCCCTGTGCTAAAAAAAAAAAAAAAAGAAAAGAAAAAGAAGGAAAAAAAACTAACCACTTTAAACTATGCGGTGTGTGTTAAAGATCAATTGTCTGACTCTGAACCAAGACCACTGCCTCTGGAAGGTGGTGCCATCTTCCAGGATTTTTAGGTTGTCCCATAAAACAGATTTTTTTTAATTAGTTTCCACAAATGAGTTGGTTTATGGTGGCCTTATTTAAACACAGATATGAGTGACAAAAGACAAGAAAAAGAGACAGGAACATGCAGAGAATGTTATTTTTTGAAGTATGAAAATAATACAACTGGCTATTTAGACAACAAAAGATTTCATTGGATACTATAAGACAGTAGATAGAAATTTATACACATTGATATTTCCACTGAATTTTTAATTTAATATTCTTTTTTGAGATCAGACGTACTCTAGCTATCATTTCATCTTCTGTAGAATTCTTACTACTGTGTTAAAAATACAAGAGTTACTGGCTCCATGTACATGTATAATAAAATGATGCAGCTGTCTCCTCCTTGATAATATGCAATCACTGCACAACATTAAATGAGAATTAAACGCAAAGACACTCACTAGCTGGTACATGTAAAGTTTAATAGTTACTTAAAAAGATGATCTAATGATGCCATTATGAATGGGGGAGGTGAAGAGTTTTTACAAATATACAGTGTGCTGCTTTATATTGGTCATTGGGAGGCATCAGTGTGCAACACTTACAGCTTTGCCTCATCTAGTAGAGCTCATTTTAGAACAGTGCATCCCCACAGATATGGAAGACATAGAACCTAATTAAACAAAAACAGTTCACTCTTAATTTTTTTTTAATTTAAGAATTCCAAGCACTAAGGACCTAAGCTTATACATTCCTGTTTGTACCAGTTTGGGTTTTGATGAGAAATCTTGGCAAGTGATCATTTAGTGAACAGTCAAGTCAAGTGAGACATATAACCCCAGAGAAGAAAGTACTTTGGGGAGTTCTTCATATTCTGCCTGTAGGTAGAATCTCATCCAAACTTACTACTTCAGAAAGTCAAAACTCCACTTCCAGTTTTGTTACTTCTTCTAAGATAAGTCAGGATAAATTTGACGATGCCTCTTTCTGAAGTTACATTTATCTTGCATAGGGCACTGAAAGCTTCCGAGGAAAACCTGCATGAAAAGTGACAGACTTCCACAGTTCTGGTGACAGTGCAGAAAGAAGCCCTCTGCACACCCTCAAGCTCTAGATCATGCAGATCCTTTTTCTGTTCCTTAAAGCAACTGAGGCAGTAACTCCATGGAACAAGCAGCAGCAGCTGGTCAGCCCCTCTGCTGCTCACAATCTCTAAGTAGCTGAAGCAGAAACAGATGCCATGCATATTATCATCCTTCTGTCAGAGAAACCTGGGAACTAAAAAATATGACAGAACTTTAGCGGAAGGGCAGGAGAAATTGACCAAATTGTAATATCCCAAGACACATACAGCTGTACATGACACAAAAAGCATAAATTTGGGTAAATTCCTTCTTTCATTGCCCTGTATCTCCAGGAGGAAGGAGGGGTAAAATAAGTAGTATAAAAAGTATAGAGAAAGAACCACTTCCTCTCAGATTCTCATTAACCACAGGTGTTGTGCATATGTGGCTGGAAGAAGGCACAAGCATGGATATACTCTTACCCCTGTATTGTAACAAAAACAATGAGAGGAGGGAAGAGAGAATGACATCTTCCTAAACAGCTACTGGTTAGAGATGGCATGGAAGACTCCTAAACTTTGTCACCTTTCTACCTTTCTTCCATTTTTTTCACTGCTTTACTCCCTCATCCACATGTCAAACAAGATTTACAGCAAACTGCAATCCCTAGCTGTGGGAACTCCTACTGAAGGTTTGGAACTTGCATAGCAGGTTGAGGTTTTGCGGTTGCTTTCAATCAAAATGCTGCTTTCCCATTCATGTGAAATAGATCAGACTTGACACAAACCTCACTTTGAAAAGTGTCACTAAAGTAGCGTTTTGCTATAGTAAAGCAGCATTTGTTTACATTACATCAGCAGCTGAGATCACAGACTCATTAGTTGACTACTGCGTGGGACTTTGAATAAGACAGCTCCTTCTTCAAAGAATCTACTTAACACAGAGAAAGACTGCCAAGAAAGAAGGCATACTATTTTTTTAATAAAAACTGTGAAGCAAATTAAACTACATGCTTCAAAACACGTACCCCTTTAGAGTTCAGAGCTCTGAATTCCCAAATATCACACTCCCTCCCATGTGCATCCCAGGATGTCTTCATGACCAGGAAAATTTTCCTCTTCCTTCAAGGATCCAGATGACATGGCCTGAATTTCAGTGCCCTCTAATTTCACTGAAGATGGTCCACTACAAGGAATGAAACGTAAAGATGCAAGGAGCTTGCACCTATTGGTATAAACTTTCTTGGGTGTCTCAGTGCTTATTGCTCAGACACTTAAGGTTAAGCTGACTACCAAACCAGCAGAGACCAATAGGTCTTCCCAACAACTTCCTACTACTGTATGGTCTATTTCCAGATGTGTCATGAGTATTTAGAAATAAAAATGTTAAAAAGACCCATAGTCTTTCCTGAATTCTCCTTTGGTACACTTACGTTTCTGAAGCCAATTTTAAATACCAAAGAGTAAAGTTGTACTATGGGTCAAGAAGTGCTCTGTAATTTACGCTTGTAAACTTGTGAGTTTACAGGTGGAGAAAGGTACAACTGCTCCTGTGAACCCTTCCAGTCCTAATTTCTGCTGCATGCACCCTGACAGTGGTGGGCAAGAATAGGATTTAAAAAAAAGTCTCCATTCCTGAGTTTCTACCTCAGAAATAATTTTTCAACCTTATGCTTTTGATGTGCAAACCAGATCAATACTATCCAGTATTTGGGGAGATGATTATCTTGCATCCCCAATATATAAAATAAGGGAGGTCCATCTGCTTAACATTTACGTTTTTCCTTCTTTCTTGACCACCCACTTGCAGATGAATCTGCCAGAATAATCTCTTCTTATCATGGTGGCAATTACTACAATGTACTCCAAACTAAAATGTGCAAGCTATGCTTCACATGCATATTCCCAGACTGATGTGTACAAAGGCCATGAAAGACCAGATGAAAATATTTATGAGGCCTCAACCTTCAAGTTTTAGAGAAAAGTAAATTATTCATATGATACACCAGGCTCTTCCTCTTGGTTCTAGACACTCTTGTGCCAAGTGAGCAGCTGGCAGTTATTACAATGTTATTGCTGCCAGGCTAAAAATTCCTCCAGTGAAAAGAAAGTAAAATGCTCTCACTCAAGCATAAAGCCAGCTACTTTACCATTCATCCTTTGACTTCAGAAAAATAATACACCTATATAAATGTAGGTGTATTTATGTACAGGTTCCTGTCATAGTTTAAACCAAAAATAGGACAATGGGGTTTTTTGTGCACAAACCCCACAGATCAAGTGTATCCCATGACTTCATAAAGACATTAGATTATAGTCATGGCACGGCTATAGCTTTTGCAAATTGGAAATCAGACAGTCAAAAGGGTGAATTATGCAATTTTGCACCCTACTGCAATTGTGAATTTGGCCCATTACTTAAAAACATTTTCATCAGTGTCACTTCACATGAAATTCAATCATTATGCATGGTGGTTTCATTTTTGAAGGACCCAAAGCTGTTAAAATTTCACTCTGCATGCAAAATAAATAAAATAAGACCAGGTTGTGTTACTCTGCACTGTATACCAATAAGAGTATTTTTTATTTCTTCAATGTGGGCTAAGGGATACATAAAGCAAGAAATAATTAGAGGT